TTTTTTTTTTAACAAAAACAGTTTGATTATTTGAAGTCGCCTCCTACTTGGGAGACCTTTTGATAATTTTTCACATATATAGCCCCCTTTACGTGGTTATCCGAACCACCCCGGCCTGGATACCGGCGTGAATAAAGGGGGCCACTTATTCTTCACTTTTTTAGACACTTCACATTTTAGTTTTAATACGACACAACACAAAACGGAGCCCCATGATAGCACATGGCATCCGCGTACCTTCTTTGGGGACGGACGTTATCAGCACGTCCGTCCCCTACCACGGCCACCACGGAACTCCAAAATACACAGTTTTTAAAATACAACATGCAACAGATTAGACAAGATTAGGTACGGAATTTTACGAATGCAAAAATCCGGTGAGATCCAGAAAACAATAGATATGGATACTAATGAATGGTACTATTTATACACAGAAACCTTGTGGCCCGGTTGCTTCCCTCAAATCGATTTTAATTTATTCGGTAGCCGGTACTGCTCCTATACACCAGAACAGTTTTATACTATGTTTCTTTATTCTAATGCCATTTTCCAAGGCATGTTGAACGAGTTTGAAATGAGTTTCATTGCCTCATTTCGCCTGACCAATATACCAAAGTTTTACAGTTTACTTCATAAATCATCTGCTTTTCGGTAAAAGCAGGTTGTACCTGCGTAACATGGCGAAACACATGTTACGTTTTCGTAAAACTGTTTAGTGAAAATCTCACAAGTGTTTTTTGTCTTCAAGTACATCGTATTTTCAAAACTTATGACCTTAGGCCAAATCAAGTGGAGAGTTGAAGAGAGACGAATTATCATCGTCTACCAGGTCAAGCAACTTTGGATTTAGACAGAAACATGTATCCAATAAAATGTTATAATTAATATTTACAGATGAAATGAAAACAACGTACTTTTCTGATCATGATCATTTGCAATTCAATATCCAAGTAAATTACGGTTCAGTGTATTGGTGATGGGTAATTTTGAGGCCAAGGTGCAAATGTACAGAATGGTATTCGAATGGTTGCTTATAATTATCCACTCGACAGCCGAACCTAAGTATAACTCGGTAATTTTTTATGTAAATGATAAATATTTACCAGCGAGTATCAACATGGACGGCCCATCGAAAATAATTTAAAAACCACTTGATTGGATATCCATTATACATGTCGATCATGCATTGATGAGTTATATTACAGGAAGTCACGATGGTAAGTTTTTGAAGATGTGCCAGTCAAGGTTATCGCTCATGCTAAAGAAAACAATCGATTATATTCGGATGTTCATCACGAAGAACCTATTTACAGGTCTGTTATATTAGAAAAACATAACAGGTCTTTCTCTTTGCTTTGTTTTTTATTTTCGTCGTTCGAATGACGATATCAAAAAAAAAACAATGAATGAAATAAAACGAATAATTTTTTAATGAAACGCTCCATATACATCGGTTGAAACAGTAAAGAAAAAAACCTGATCATTCGACCTATATGTTTTTCTATATTATTAAAAAAAGGAAATTTGTTGAAGCGGGAACAAAATCATGTATATTTGGAAGTGGTTGACAAATGTTTCATGGTGAATTTTACTAATTCGTACTTCCATTGTCCAATATGATTCGAAATCTATTGAAGAAAAAATAAAAGTTAGAATGAATCAGTTATGTATAAGCAATAAGACGTGAAATGAAAATAAAATGAAATGAATAAATTAAAATAATTAAGATACAAGAGGAAAATGACCACAGAGTAAAGATGAATGAAATAAAATTAAAA